TAGATATATTATAAAGAAGAATCAAGAATCAGGGCTGTCAACTTCTTAGATAGAAGGTATACCTAGGGGAAGCTTGTTAATGAAGACAACGAAGAACATAAGTTTCAGTATACAATTCAACTTCTTTTATTGCGTTGGACAAGCTACAGTATAATTCGCCGCTTTTAATAAACGCTGACAGATGTGGAAAAATATCTTTCAAATGTCTGCATGGAGAAGCGAGACTACTTTCAACTTCAACGAGAACCCGCAGGAAACAATGTTTATGTTTGGTATACACGTAGAGATAATTAGGAGGCTTTTCTAAAGGAAAACCTGACCGAGCTTATGCGGATACAAGTCGCAAGTGGGTGTATGCAAAGGAGTTTTTGCCCGTTTTGTGATGTAATTACACATTTTATAAAGACGGATCCACAAAGGAAAATATGCTTTTTAAAGGCAAGTCACGCGGGCGCGAGGCATAATAAAACACAAGGATTTAATTAAACTTATTCATCCCGGCAAAGTGGGATGATGTTCGAGCAAAACTGCATTTAATTAAGAAGTTCAAATTCTTCGCATTTTTGACATAATTAAGTTTACGCCGTCCTTTATTCCAAATGGCTCAATTCCCGACCGACTTCTTCATTAGAGACGCAGAAAAGACATTACTTTGCTTAATTTCGTCGCTTCGCGGAGTTTTGCCACGAAAATAGTTTATTTAGAACGTTGTATTTTATTTATTTATTTGGCTATATCACTTAAATTACCCTGGTAATACACAAAGTGTTCCTGACAAGAATAAAGCTGGGTTATACAGGGTAGTCCTAAATTGTCTTCCAATATTTTTCTCAAATTTTTTTTAACTGTTTAACAGCATTTTGTTCATTACTAGACCTGAACTTTCTACAAAATTCCATGATAATATAAACTAATGCAAAAGAATTTCCGAAATTTTTCCGTGATTTTTGAGTCTGTATTTAGGTGAAAAATGGTCGTATCGGGAATTAATAATAATAATAATAATAATAATAATATCTCTACTCCTCATTCTAATTACGAGAATTAGCCCAGAACTCGGAGACTTGTGCGGGAGAGGAGGCGGCATATTATTATTACGCAGGCCGCATTTGCGCCCAGGAACGACTTATGTTGGTAGGCCCTAACCACCATTCCGTGCAGGAATGAGGGAAACCTGGAAAACCTCATTAATTAGGGGGGTGGTCAAATGCCAACCGGTGTCAATCTCTCACATTGACCCAAGCCAACATTCTTCCACCTTACCATACCTGCACAGAGGGCGCCAATCCTCCGTACAAATATAGATAATCTACGGTCACCGGCCGCGGGATTCGAAACCCGGGCAGTTCGACACATCGATTTAAGTACTGACGCCTTAAACCGTGCGGCTATCGACCGATAAATTAAAAAAAAGCATTTTGAAGCTCTAAGATTCTAGTTTAGATTTTTCGGTCTAAATTTTTTAGCAGCTACGGTTATCATGCAATTCTAAGAAATAGCGCTACAAAAAAATTTCGATACGACCATTTTTCATCGAAATGTCGGACTTTTAAAAAAAATGAATTATATGATCATTTTCGAGCGTGAGCAAATTTTTTATTTCTCAAATTCTCGTTTTTAATCAAATCTTTTGTGCTTGTCTTATCAAATTTTGTAAATCAAAAGGCCTCTCCAGTTTATTGTATTCGCAAGATATGCTATATAAATGCATTTTTTGGATTTTGAAATTTATTTGGGCGCGTTTTTGTCTAAATGTTCCGTCTGAAAAATCCTTCTAATGTTAAATTTGTTGCCTATTATCCTTATTTTTTCCGATATTACAAGAATATACGCAATTTTTGTTGTGGATGCATTTCCCTTTGTTGTCTGGTAGAATATATTTTACTTTCAATATTCTTAAAAAATCTTTCAGCAGACTCTATTATTAGTACATTTTTTATAATACAATGCATTATTAGAAATTCCATCTTTTAAAGAAATCTATTTGGTTATATCGTATTAAAATTTAGATATATGTTAGTCTGAGTTTCTTACAAACACTTGTTTCTAAACAATTGCCATTTTTTTTAAATGAATATATCTAGAAAGGGTAATGTAATTAATAGTTTTCAATTAATTCATTCTTTGTTATTAATATTATTTAGAAAAATATTTACATTATGTTCTCGAAATGGTAGGCTTTTTATATAACTTATTAACATACTTTTCTTTAAAAAACATCCGTAAAAATATTACTTAAAATTGCCATTCTGAACTCTCGTTGATAAAATTCATTACTTAATTGAAAATATGTAGTTTTTATACATAATCCTAGCAATTCCAGTAAACATCCTATACCAGTTAGTTCTATCTGTCAAATTTTGACCATTATCTAATTTATTTTTGATAATACTCGACGTTTTTTTTTTCTGCTGGTAGAATCCGACCGATTCCCTCCGTTCCCGAGTTGCGCTTTTAAGGTATGGGAATGAGATGTGCGAAAGCGCATTATTTCCCACAAAAAGAACCACTCCAGACGAGATGAGAGCACATCGGGGTCAGGTGTCCGATGTCATCATCCACACGACACCTACTCAATAGAATTGAACGGAACCGAGCAGTCTAAAGTGCCTGCTTATTGTGCCTCAATTTGTTGCTTGAATGTGAGCAAATCCGCACGCCGTACACCCTTTTGTGCCGGAGGTGTCGCAGCCCGAGCCCAGACCTGCTGCATGCTCCTCAACCAGATGCCTATCGTCTCCGACGATCTGTCCTTCCTTTTCGATTCTTGGTGCCTTAGTTAGAATTCAGCTCGGCGAAGAAGGATTTTGTTGGGTTGTGATAGCGAGAGGCGTGTTAGGATAGCGAGAAAATCGGCAAAATACAATCCATTTTATCGTAAGACTAAAAACTGGTAAAAAAATAACGGAACAAAGGTCCATTTTTGCCCCAATCAGCATTTAAAATAACCGACATTAGCTGATATCTCAGTTAAATAAAACAATGCTATTAATTTATAAATAACGATAATATTTTACTTCTAAAAAATATATGAATATGTAGTTCTTTCCAGAATTCTGAAGTAAGTAAAATTTTAGTTTGTTCTAATAAATCCTGACCAAAATTTCACTCATGTCTCTTATTTAACAAGTTACATTGAAAAACTATTATCAAGTGATTTTCAATAAAAAATCGTCATGTGTCTGATGTCTGACATTTCATTCACTTGTTTTGAAATAGTTTAATATGCCCAATTTGATTCAGAGTTGGTGGACATAATAATTTTATATTGCAAAATATACCATCCCCTTTCATTGTATTCATAAGGATTAGCCTAGAAGTCAAAGATCTACGAGAGACAGACGTTTTCTTAAGATAATACAAACGTATTTCCTAAAATTATACAATCCTTGATAGACTCTTTTAGTGTGACGTCACATATTTAGGCAACCCGCAACAAATTGTCATAGTTGAAATTGTTCAAATCGAATCCGGACTTGTGTACTATTTACATAGATACTAATACAAATGAACAACTTAGTTTATTTTTACAAGGATTTAGAAGTACTTAAGAACAACCAACATGTGTTTTGTAAAATAGATAAACTAATGTACTTTAAACTTACAAAAAACGATAAAAGAGTAATGGTGAATATTTTAAAATTTGGTGCAAAAACATTTTTATTATTTTTTTACAATTACAATTAACTTCTCAATATTTACAAATGTAGTATTGACAAAAGGGGAATCACATTTTGAGTCCTGAAGATGGTGTCAAAAACGCTACAACGTTGGCGGATATTAAATTTATTATTTTTTAATTAATTCTTACGATCCTCATCCTATTAAAATTCTCTGGCATTGATAAAAACACATGTTTCCAGCGCTGACCCGTGTTAAGTAAACCTACAACACCATTATACTACTTAACGACCGCATAAAATTAAATGTTTTGACTCGCACATTGTGCCCCCGACAAAACCCTCCGAAACCGTCGTTCAGAAATATAGGATTACACTTATTCTACCATAAAGACTTGAATATGGTCTATTATCCAAAAAATCCGAGCGCTCGGCACACACAAAGGAGCAGCTCTTGTGGTCAAAACATCCTTAAATCGATCCCGTTCGGTTCTTAGCGATCTCCTTCCCATTCGTCGGAGGAACTCGCAGGGTATTAGATATGGTTCATTATTCCTCAATGGTAGCTTAGACGTCTCAGGTTTACCGGGTATTGTGGCCTGGATGTCGCTTGACGTGACAGCCACTTAACATAGGCGAAGGTAAATGGTATAATAGGCATGCGGAAGCATCGGCTTGAATTATGCGAATTGTTGTCTTACTCGCTTGTTCCGGGTGAAACGTGATAAGTTTACGCAGTGGGCTCGTTCAATAACATTTAATTTATAACTTATTCTTACATTTTCCGCAAGCACGTAATCCTCTGTGTACAGGGTGAGTCGCGAGAATCGCAACAAACTCCAGGAATGGATTCTACGTTGTGGCACTCTAAACACTTTCTGCTTCGTTTATATCTCTCCTGATTGCTGCACGTATTTCTTTAATAAATGTTGATGATACGTCGAATTAGTGCCTCCCTAGTGTTCATTCCGACTTTGTACACTTCCATAAACAGTAATTCAATGCTGTGAAGTCTGGAGGTCCTGGAGGTCAACTAATAGACCACAGCGGCCAATACAACGCCAATCTTTAAATGAATATCGTATAACAATATTTGAATTTTTTCTTATTATTTTTATTTGTAAAATCCATTACTGGAGTTTGGTGCAATTCTTCTGACTTACCTTGTATGTGGTGAAAAAATCAGGTCGTGATAAATAATTTCTAATTCAAATAACATTTGAAACAGTTCATTGCGTTCGCAGAGCATCTCTGACGTCACACCACTCGACTGGCCGATGGACATTTGTATCTTAATAGCTATTAAAATAAAATACTAGAGCTAATAATAAAACAATATATAAGCTAATGGATTTGATATAGAAATTAGACACATTATAGATGTTTAACTGTTTTTTTTTTGTTTCAGGTTTAGCGCAATTTAAAAATTCCTTCAGTTCCTCAGGCCCTGGTTCCTGTTTGTCAGGTAATATTACTTTTTTAATATATTTCAAATATGTATTATTTGTGAAGTATGTACTTTAGTTAAGAAAGAAAGTCAAGAGCCCACTTAAGACGTGTCAATATCTTAGTAGGCAGCTGGCGGCAATTTTGTATATTTACATTGTATACATCATTTATGACATATGAGAAATACTAAATTCTTGGATTGCACCATAACGATATTCAGATGCGGGAAACGTAATAGGTCTCATACAAACACTTGTTTTTCGAATTGTTATATGCCATGGCATAACTGGTCTCCGCCAGTTACAGACTTATAGCCCATCTGAAAATCTTTGAGAGTTGAATGACCTCTCCATTGTCATCATCCATAGGCGTGTGTGTGGGAGAGGATTACCATAACCAGTATATGATAAATATATGGTTGAAGATTATTTGTTTGTTGTTAAAAATAACAAAAACACATAATCTGAATAACCCTTTACATGCAACAAAACAAAATTAAATGGACAACAATGTCTTGCTGACAGACCGTCTCTTTCTCGGACATTAAACTCTCAACAATTTTTAGATGGAATGTACAATACAGTTTCTTAGCCTTAGTTAGGAACCTTTGACCTGCTCTTGTTGTTCTCGGGCTAAGTTCTGGTGTGGCGGACCCACTATTAGAACCCCTAGGCCTGTCCTAAAATTTATTTTGATATTAGTTTTAAGTCTGCTAGGAATGGAACCGCTCTTTAAAGTGTTCCATGGCAGCATCTGTAGCATACAATGTTTCTAATCGGGCCAGTATAAAACCCCATACAAACGGCGTCAACGTACTGAATAAACCAAAAGAATAATCAAGTTATGAACCGCGCCGAGGTCCCTTAGCGCTGACTTATGCCGGTATAAGCGATTAATAAATGTGATAAATGGACGTTCTAATATAAATAATTGTCAATTGTAGCAAACGCGCTTACGCGACACTTAATGGCTCGTGAAATTCACCAGAGAGACGAGGGCGCACCCCTGCGTCCCTCTCCGGAATAAATGATTCGGGTAATGTCTAATTAGATTATGCGAATGCGTTTTACTGTGTATTTATGTAATGTAACGACGGAGCGATTTTCGCTTGCACGCGTGATGGATGTTCCGTTTAACGTTTGTGTATCGAGTTTGGATTTAAAGTGCTGCTATGTTGCAGCAAGTTAGTGTCACCACGGTTGCTTTGGATTTCGGATGTTCGAGCCCCACGTTGGGCGCCATGTCGTCTTTCAACATGCTTTTCCCGGGAACTTTTCATGGAAGAATGTTGTTTAGTTGCCTTCTTCCATTTTGGTACATCCTCCAGGTTTCCTGGAGGCTTTCAGCTGAGCTTTGTTGCACTAATTGTTTTAGCGACATTTCGAGTATGGTTACTCTATATATCACCGTCTCTTAGGCTTTGCCTTGCCTCTGGTTTCGAGATCTCCTGTGAGTAGCTTCGAGGAACTTGTATAGAAGCTATTTAATTAGATTTTTTTGCTTCCTTGGAGGGATTGTGTATGACAGCTTTAGGAACTGTGTATGGCAGCTTTAGAGTATCTTCACCCCAGGGAGGATAACGCCTGAGTGGTGGTATGCTACAAAGCAAGTGGAGCTTTGAGCTTGTTTAAATTTTTTATTTATTTATTGCAATTTTTTTATTTAATTACAATAAATGGTGTGTGTATAAAATATGTATAGAAATTTAGAGCGTACTACGCGTACTAGCCAGAACTCCGAATCAGGGTAGACGTTCGATCACAATCCTTGGTGGGTCCGCAGAAGTCCTATAACGAAGTCCATCCTAGTTTGGACAATAATTGACTTAATCCATTTTTGGATTTTCGCCAACTGGCGGCTGCTCTAGCGGTCGCAGAAATACGAATATTACGTTTAATTTAAGATGCAAATGATTAGGTACCATTGTTTTCCAAAGTTTTACGATTTATAATAAAGCAAATTGTAAGTACTGTTTTTTTTTTAAAGTCATCCAACTCTCCTAAGCTTGCCCTAGTGTTGGAAACGTCTCTCAATTTTTTTTAATGTACAAAGGAGATCTTCAAAAATGTAAAGAGAACCGGGCACATCTGTAATATCCAATTTTTATATCATTATATACTTTCGCTCGATTTAACAGGCCCAACAAGCCAAACGCGTAATTATGCTCTTAAAAAGAGTTCGTCTTATTCCTTTAAAAGTTTTTTTAGGTCGACGTGGGTCCCGAAAGAAGTAAAGCGAATCGAGTTCTTGAATAGGGGCAAAAGAGAACATGCTCGGAGCCTTCCTCCAATTATAATATTATCAAGTTATCGGAGAGAGACTCTAATTGTCACTTTGGTTTCCAATTAATTCTGACGCAACTCTCGAACGTCCCCAAACTCTGGAGGGCTTTGTACGTTTGTTAAAATATTTAAACTCCAGTTTCTAATTTAACTAGCTTTGTCATGGTAAGATTGTCAATTTTGTTTTTTTTTCTGTAGGCGCGTTGATTGCTCGGGGGGCGCCGCCAGCGCCCTCGCTGCGAAAATGAGCAGCTGGGCAAAAGGACGGAAAAAATTATAAAAAATTGATTTTGTATATAGTATATCCGGAATAGGTGCACATTTTTTTAAGCCACACTTTTTTTAGGGAAAAGAATCTTTATCAAATTTTTAATCACCTCTTATGTCAATAAACGTTTATTATAAATAACCAGTGGGGGCTCGACTTCCACACCAGGGAGGGCGGAACTATTTTGATACAACGTATTGAAAAAAAAAACAAATATAATTGGGCAGTTTTATTTTAATTATTACGGAAATATAGGGAAAATGTGTTCATTCTTCTGTGTTTTCTGTGTTTATCCGAAATAAACTTTTCAACTATTTTCGATTAAAGTTTGGTATTTCTCGCACCATTGATTTTTCAACAGATAACATTACTGTTAGTCTGTCATTACAATAAATTTATACTTTTAAAAAACACAAGAAGGAGTACGTAAGTTACACAGGTGACTTGGCCATAAATTCAGTTGTCAACAAATGGCCTAGCAGTGCAGTGCAGCAATGCGGAATTTGGTGTGATTCGGGTAATTTTAATTTATTATAGGCACCTTCTATTTATCATTCATATTACAATTGCGAAACAAGGAAATAACAGGGATATTTTGTTTGCTAATATTAATACAACTTGTCATTTTCTAGACTTAGACGTTTTGAAACGGAATAAAACGAAATTTACCATCAATATAATAAAGTTGTTTGAGCACATAAATAATTAGAATCAAGAGAACATATAACAAAAATTTTCTACACATTGTATACAAATTATTATAATTTTTTACCTTTAGCAAAAAACTTTTTTAGGGACGCCTATGAAACTCATTAAATTTTATTGCTAGGCGCTTTTATATATGTTCAACTGACTTAGAAAAGACTTATACCAACCAATTGCATTTGAAATTTATGTAACTTTCTACAATCTTGTTAAATATATTCATTTTGTATTTTACTATAGGATATACACAAGATTGTGTTAATTAAATATTAAATTTTATGGATTTCTGTATATGTATGTCTAAGGTTAGTGTGAATAAAAAAAAAACAATTTAGTGTCACTAGGAAAAGTTGTACCTAATTATTAAATATTACGAAAAAAATCCCATTTGTGGTAAAATTGGCCCATTTTAATTATTTACAAAAATTTATGTCCCCGATTAGTGAACAAGATGTGAAAATATAACTGAAAATATTGCTATTTTTTTAATAATTTTTCGACAACTTTTTAAATATGAAAAGTGTTGTAATAGAATTTCAGTTATGACAAAATTGGTACACTTTGATTATTAAAAGATGTGTCAACGGACGTAATTGATATAAGGACAAACTTTTTTTTCTCCGTTATGGGAGAGAAATATTTTTTATAGAAAATTTATCCTGTACATGAATATTATGAAATTATATTATTATTGTTATTATTACAATTGAAAATATCATTAATAAAATTCGAAATATATCTACAACGTTTATTTGCCATATTTTTTTTCTTAAATGAGTAGTATCCGAGAGAACCCTATAGTCAAAATCTAACCTAAACCTATTATTTTTTTAATGCAAAACACAGCAGAAATACAACTGTATTACTATTTCCAACGTACTCGTTAATAACAATCGAAAGGAGGCGGCTCATTATTGGCCACCCCGAGCTGCCGGCGGCGGAAAAGCAAACAACGATCAAGATTAGCAATAAGAATTTTGCTATCGATCCGGCTTGCGCAGAACATTTCAAACACACACACACACACAGGCTCTTTTGGGCTAAAACAACGCTATGTAAATTGCCACCCAATTCCGGGAAAGCCTCGTTCACAAACCGCCCCCTACCCCGCGCGACGGTTTCCATAGCAGTGGACGGATACTACAGTTAAGAGAAGAGAAAACGGCTCAGCGCCGGCCCCGGAATGGCTAATCCGGCTGCGTCAATCATAGTAATTGCTTTGTTTGTAGCGAAACACTGAATTATCTGTGTATATTTTTTTTACTTGTGAATGTGACAAAAGGTGGGAAGAATTGGCGAGAAAATAGAAGAAATACATCGATATGTCCATAATTTCAAGACAAAGTCAAGTGGTGTTAGTTGCGGTGACCGAGGTGGCTATTCATATAACTACTACCCGCCTTATTTCTTTCATTCTATCTAGGATTAAATGGTAAAGACCAAAGTTTTAGGAAATTTTCTTGCGAGTTAAAGAAATACCTATATAACAAAACAATTGACTGTTGCATTTCAAAGATATAAATCAAACTTTTGTTTTTTTTAATGGAATATACTGTATATTCTAAAATATTTCGATTTCTTTCTTTTTTCTTCTCATGAAGAATTTCCCAATATTTTTGCTAGATCCATTTTCGACCATTTTTACTTTGGACATAAGTGCCAGAAAAATGTTTTATTTGTCATTACCTTAAATTTCGCGGTATTCTGGCAATATTAGAAATATTTAAAAAATTTCAAACCCCAAGAGACAAACTAAAAGAA